GAAACTTCATAGTTACATAGATGTCCACAGAAGATAATAAGTAACCTAATATACTTGGTAAAACCAGTAATTTGTCTTTGTATACTGTAGCCCAATGCCCCATCCCAAGAAATGTTTTACTTGGTTCAGGATTCACAGGACAGGCTACAGGGCTGCACAGAAGAAAGGTAAGGTTAAAAATAAAGACCATAAGATAAATGAGATGTGTTGTGCTGATACAGAACTTAGGCATTAGAAACACAGAATTCACTCAAGTCAGTGAGGGGTAAATGGCACAAAAAGTATGACAATGCCATATAACTCATCTTGATAGCTCCGTTGTGAGTTCTAAATCAAATATTGATTCAGATTTTTCAACTTTTCTATTTTTAAAATGTCAACATTTAATTGTTTGATAAATGGAGTTATGTGACTTTAAATGACTATTAAAAATAGCGTATCAATGCCTGATTCTTTGGCAAATAGGGAACAGCAGGCAGTACTGTTTAGACACAGATAACCTCACCTTTAAGTCATTCACTTCTTCTCTTGCTCAGAGCCCATTGATTCTACCTGCGAGGCCAAATCCAAATTCCTGATGCCAGCATTCAAAGCCTTTAAGGACCTGGCCACAACAGTACCTCTATGACCCTAAGTCCCACTACTCCCAAAACCTACCCTCCACTGCCCCAGAGCGCACAGATCTCTGGACGACCTTATCTCTGGTCATTTCCAACTTCCTACCTGATGTGGAAGTCTCCTTCCATCTACAGGGTCTTGCTTGCCAAGGCCTACACCGGCGCTGCGGTGCTCCAGCACTCCAGTCGGCCGCGCCCGCTCCACAGCCCCGCACTCTGCCCCTCTCCAGGCCACACCACCTTGCCCACTGGCCATTTGGCCCCGGGCCCCTCTCCTTCCCCAAGACCAGCTCTCTGGGGCCTTCTCCCTGCCCCCACAAGATTCTCCCAGGGGACAGTCCCCGCCTGCCTCCATTCAATCACGGGCTCTGTATTCGGTGTCTTATTAGGAATCTCGCACTGGGGGTGAAAGCAGGACCTGGACCCCGCGGGGCCCCTCCCCCCTTGGTTCTCTCTCCGGGACTTCGGTGACCCTCCTGAGTCTCTCCCCCCGCCCAGCCACCCTCGGGGGCTCCCGCCACCCAAATCTCCCCACCGTGGCCACTCCCTCCTATCCGGCGGGCAGCGGGGGTCGGCGGTGACTCACCGGAGGGCTGGCGGCCGGGGGGCCGGAATGCGCTCACTTCCTCACCGCGCGCACCTGCCCGGCGCCGCTGGAGCGCAGCCCGGCCGGGCCTCCGGCGGATGTTTTTTCTGTCCCCGGGCGCGGGCAGCGCGCGCCAACCGCCTCCTCCTGGCCGTGCCCCCCATAACTGGCATTCCCGACGGCCAGTGCCCCAGGAATCCCAGAGTTGGGCCCTAACCACTGACATCCCTTACACACAAGCATACACACAGTAACCACAGCGTGGCCTCCGGCCCCAAGCAGCTACGGGGATGAACACTTGAGCGCACACACCAGCAGGAATGCAAGTGGGTTCAAGCAACACCTTCCCGGAACCCACCGGAACTTATGAGAGGGGTCCTGGTTCAGCCCCAGCCTTTCTTTCCAGAAGCCCTCTACTCCTGCCCATATGCCTACCTCCTCATTCACAGATGGCTCTTACTTCTGTCCCCATTACTTCATGTACACCAATCCCCGCTGGGGCCCCGTTTCCTTCCAGCATCACCACCACCTTCAAGCTTCCTAGCTTCCCAGTCATGTCTGCCCCCTACTGGGTTGGCTCCAGGTTGCAGGAGCAAAAGACTGGTCCAGACTTCCAGATTGTCAACAGGGCCCCCTTCCCCAGAAGGGTAGCAGCAGAGCCACTGACCACTGACAAGACTTCTGGGCCCTTGTGCTAAAAAGGCCTTCTCATCCAACTTCTCCAGCCAAGAGAGCAGTCCAGAGCCATGCTTCCCACATGACAGCCTACATCGGGGTACCCTGTTTCATCGGTGTTTTTTCTCTTGGTACTCCTCTGAAATAGAAAGGGTATCAGATCTGACTAGGGTGAATACGTGGTACAGTCGGCATCTCCATCCACTTAAGTAAGCTATCTACTTGGTAGAGGACACATAGGGAGCCTGAGGTGAATGAATGAAGTCGTTTCTGAGTGGTGAAGAGGTGAGAGGCAAAAAGGTCAGCCCAAAGTAGCTGAATCTGATCCACTGGGTGACAGGGAATGGGAGTCTTGCAGTAAGAGGGACTAGAGACTTAGAAGGAAAAATTGAATGTCAAAGTGATTGGTCTTCTGAGTTGGATAGGGTCTTTGGAGTGTGGCAAATTGGAAGAAAGGGGCCATTAGTAGCAAAAAGATGGCCAGCACTAGAGTGGTCAGAAAGAACTTGAGAGTTCACATGAGTGGGGATGGGAAGCAATGGATCAGAATCCTAATGTGAAGAGCAGGAGTCCCAAAGTTAACTGGAAGGATGAGAAATGACACCTCTTTCCACGGCAGAAGTGAGGGTACCAACCTAAGAAAAGTGGGTTTATCAGCAACTCAGTTTCTCAAACTGGAGGTGGTAAGGATGACATGCAACATGAATGTGAGGAGGGCAGAAGTCTGTGGTAGGAGACAGCAGCCCCCAACAGAAGCCTTCAGCTATGCAGAGCTGCTCGCTGTCATTCAAACCAGGAAGTCTACCCATTTTGTCTCTGAGCTCTAGTACCAATCACAATAGCCTATATTTTCTGAGGGCCACGTGCCAGGGACAGTGCTAAGAGCATTAGATGCTTTACCCCACTGAAAGCCTCTTAACAACCGAGTTACTATGCTACCAATGTAAAGATAAGGAAACAGTTTTAGGGATGTGAAGTAGCTTGGCCAACATCACAGTCTTAAGTAGAATCAGGATCTGAATCCAACTAGTCTTGACTATAACCTATGCTCTTAATCACCTATCTTGGGGCTCTCTACAATCTGCAGGAAACCCAAAAGAGGATGTCAGAGGATTCCTCAATTTTCATTCCATAGAGTACAAGTGGAAATAGAGGTACCTCTGTGAAACTGGAGTGACATACCATTAGGGCATTTAGAGATGTTCCTCTTTGAAAGAACCATCCCCAGATATGGGAAGATCTTGTACCTGCTGCATGTTTGGAGGTACTAAACAATGGATAGAGCATTCTCGGTATGCCTGTGGAAAAAAGACACCCTCCTCCCCATCTCTGAGGGGCAGCCATGTCCCTAGTATCCTTCAGGGAGACTCTACCCTAGGGTCTGAGAGAAACATTCTGCACTCCAGGTGCCTGTTCGCTCTCCTGGAGCCTCTGGCCGTCGCACCCTACTGCAGCTCCTTGGTTTGGCTGGGGCACAGGATTAGCCATCCCCAGGAAATGCCTCCCTCCGGTCCAGGCAAGGATCCCAGCACACACACACACCCCTGGAGTGTGTGTGTGTGTGTGTGTGTGTGTGTGTGTGTGTGTGTGTGCGTGTGTGTTGGGGGCAGGGTGGAATGCTTCCTTCTCTCCAGGTCAGGGAAGAGATGTGGGGACCACCTGGGGGCCCTCACCCCTCCCACCTCCTTGCTGGGGAAGTGCCCAGTCCAGTGCCCCTTCCATGGCCACCTCCCTCCCGCTAGCTGTGCCGGGGCATGAATCAGCTCTCACAGCTTGTTAAAAGCTAGACCTCTTGTTTTCCTGCCCTCACCTCAGGAAACAGAGTTACAGCTTTTCCAGCTCTACTCAGCAGGGGGCCAGGGTCCTCACTTTATAAACATCCCCAAGCCTGTGAGAGCAGAGGGCACGGAGATGGTGTGAGACAGGAGCCCAAGGGAGAAAGACAGAAACTAAGACCCAAGGAAAAAAACAAAGAAAAGCCAAAGAGACAAGACCAGAGTAGCCTGAACAGAGGCCAAGAAGGGACCGTGAGGCCTGTGCTGCAGGAATGACCCTAAGGATGCTCTGGGCTGGACAGGCGAAGGGGGTCCTGGGAAGCTGGGGGATGATATGCTTGGTGATCTCTCTGCTCCTCCAGCAGCCAGGAGTCCACAGCAAGTGCTACTTCCAAGCTCAAGGTAAAGCTGGGGGAGGCATCAGGAAGGAACAAGGACAGAGGGAGCTGGGATGAGGGGGGCTTAGAGGTGATCATCTACTGGAATACCCAGACTCCCTCCAGCTCAGAAATGGGAGAGACTAAATAAGGGAGTGAGAGGCACTTATTTTCTCTCACTCTAGACCACAAGCGTTTCTGTCTGCCACCACCGCTCCCCAACACACTAACATCTCCTGTTCTTCCCTAGCCCCCTGCCACTATGAAGGGAAATATTTTAGCCTGGGTGAGTCTTGGCTCCGCAAGGACTGCTTCCATTGTACCTGTCTGCATCCCGTTGGTGTGGGCTGCTGTGACACGTGAGTGACCAAAGATGGCCAGAGAGAATGGCTCTGACATGAGTGACTTAGGGACAGCCAAGGGGTAACCAGATGGCTGTGATGTGGGAATGAACAGAATAGAGGTATGAAGCTGGCCCCGCCTGAAGGTACCACCAAGAGCTGAGAGATCAGGCTGCAGGCTACAAAGTGAGGGACATAGGGGTGGGTCTAGAGGAAAAATATTTCTGCTATGAAATGAAAAAATCCAAGTATGGTAGGCAAGAGCTTAGTTAGGGGGACTAAGAGGGCACTAAAGATATGGGAGGAATGCCGACGGAGAGGAGTGTGGGGCAGGGGTAAAGGTGGCCCTTCACTGTGCTGATTCCTGTCCCATTCTTCGGTTCCCCAGGTCCCAGCATCCCATTGACTTCCCTGCGGGGTGTGAGGTGCGTCAGGAAGCAGGAACCTGCCAGTTCTCCCTGGTGCAAAAATCTGATCCTCGGCTACCCTGCAAAGGGGGAGGGCCCGACCCAGAATGGGGCTCAGCTAACACCCCTGCTCCTGGGGCTCCGGCTCCCCACTCCAGCTAAACTCAACTGATCACCCTCCTGCTAACTGCCCACTGCTACTGCCACTCCCAGGGAAACCACTAGCAGCTGCCAATTTATTCTGAATAAATAAATTAATGCCACAGCTGAAAGCCTGCCTCTCACTGTCCATGTCATTGGACCTCGCGTGGGAAAAACGGGCCCTACTAGAGTCCAGGTGCTGGGTTCTCAGGATCCTGAAGAAAGGCAATATCATGGTGCAAGTTTCAGATGGTTATGGTGCTGGTGCTGGGACCTGGGGCTGCATATGAGGCCAGGGTAGGACTTGTGGGCAGCACCTTGATGGGGAGGTCCCAGCTGAAGGTGTCTACGGGCACTTGCTCAGGCCCTGTCCAGGTCACAGGCTCGGGCTGCTCCAAAGGAGGGAGGAGCACCAAATCGGGTTCTCGAGATGTTACAAATTCAAAATGCAGTCGCCACTTCAGGGACACTGTGGGGGAAGAAAAGATAAAGGTAGAGGCATTAGACGCCAGGAGTAGAAACCAATGCAGGATGTGGTTAGTGAATGAGAAAAAAAACATACACACACACAAAACACAGTAATCAGAAAGAGAAGGAGAAGTCACTGGGTTAGGATCAGCGGTTTCCCTAAAGAAATCTGTTAACTAGAAATGTGACAATCAGGATAGCAGGATAGCAACAATAACCATAGTGTGAGACAGTCAAAAGTTGATAGCTGGAAGTAAACATGCTGGGGAATCAGAGATTGATGTACATAAGATCTCAGTGAGTAGGGGTAAGGAAGGACACCTGCAAAGCTCTTAAGAGTTTAAGAGTCGGTGCATCTAGGAAGCAGGTTGACAGTCTGAGAAGGTATTAAGGGTCAGAGGCTGGGTGCGGGTATGTCCAGGAGTTCGCTAGGAATCAGGACCCAGGCCCCATGACATTCTATGGAAATGGGGCATTTTGCTCTCTTCCCTCCTCCAATTAGGGTCAGGGTCTCACCAATGGCTGTGCAGAAGCCCGGGGTGGAGCTGAGAGGAATGGGAAGGGAGAAGCTGGTTCTGGTTGTATGCAGGCAGGACTCCTGGTGCCGGGCATGAGTCACATGAGACACAGAGGGGACACCCCCCGTCCTGCGGCGCCTCTGATACTCAGGCTGTACACGCTCCTCGGTCTGTAAGCTTACTGAAAACTGGGAGCAAGAAAAGAAGTGGGTGCTAGCAGGCACTGGGAAGCACAGACTCTAGATGCAAAGCTTGAGCCCAACCTCAAGCTATTTTACCAAAAGGGATCTGGGTGACCACACGATTCACTTCTACATACCACCCTTCTTCATGCAGGTCCTTTTCCTTCTTCCCTAGCCCCCCAGGCCCAACACCCCAAAGGCCCCTTGCCTCCTCACCTGCAAACAAGCTACAGTTCCTTCCCCTAGGTTTAAGGTCCCCACCACATCCTCGCCGAGTCTGTATACAGATTTGAAGATGCCAAATGTCCCAACTTTTCCTCGGCCATCACTGATATTGTATAGATCTGGGGAGAATGGGAGACTATAAGCTGGGAGTCACACTGGGGAGTACCAGGGCTGTGGGATACCAGTGAATCCTCAGAAGTATGTGGCAATTAGGAAAATCTGTAATACTATGGGGAGGTGGGAGGGTGGCAATTGTGAAAGGATTCTCACGGAGGCTGCGGCAGGATGTGGCAGCCATGAGGCGCTCCCCAGCCAGCTCAGCTAGCCATGAATCCTTCTTTCCACCTTCATCCTCTTCCAAGAATGGACTAGATGGGGCTACAGCCTCATCCTGGGGAAACCGGACATCTTGAAGGCCTACAGAGAGAATGAGTGGAAAGGTGGTGCTAGGAGGGTAGAGACAGTAGAGGTTAGGGTTTTAGATTCCAATCTGTGAAGACTAAAGATAATGAGAGCCATGACCCAGGTACACATCTTAACCGATTCTCCAGAACCCTCCCCTCCCCAAACCCCTCACACCTTTACTAAAACATAGAAGCTGCCCTCCAGTCCCCCTCACAAGAACCTCTACAGATCATTTCTGCTTTGGTGAGGCTCTTCCCCAGCCTTTCCCCCCAGAAATCCTTACTTACCGGTCAGCACAAGGACCCTCAGAGGAACCCTGAGTAAAGTGATGGGTGAGTTGACACGCTGGCAGCCAATGGTCAGTTTGTAGACATACTTGACTGACTGACCCCGAAAGGAGGGTGGTCCCTCTATGGGCAGCACTTCACTGTAGGAGTCTGGTTGGGAAGTAGTAGTCAGGACAGCCAGAGGCAGCCAGAGAAGTCCTCCCTCCAGGAGCCTTACAAGGCAATCCAGGGGTGGGGAGGAGGCAATCACTCACATGATTTGGACTCTCCAGGATCTAGCCTCAGATCACAGAAAAGGATTTTTGGTGGAGTGGAAAGGATACACTGACCTCTCTCACCTGAAAGAAGAAAGACTGTAATTTAATGACCCCCCTTGTACAGTACTGGATAAGCTAGCACAGCAAGTGGGGGCAGTAAGCATTGCCAACAAAGCTTAGCCCAAATTAAGCTACCACTCTTTTCTTATTGTAAGATAGGAACAGTCTTATGCCCCCAAAGCAACAATTACATTCCCCCACATCCCCAATATGACAAAGACTATAAGGACCCACTAGAACAATTTAACAAATTCATTCACTCTCAGGTGACAATGACTCCACCCCCTTCCAAAAGCAAGGGCCCATCTCTAACCTCGGTGTGGTAGAAAGACAGTCTGGCTCTCAGGCTGGACATCTGGCTGACTGGAGTCAGGGGAGGTAATACTACTCGACTCTCACTGGCATGGAACTGACAGTGGATTTGGGCACTGGCCCAGGCTAGAGCCTCACTGTGGGAGGAGGAAAAGAAGGCATCAGAGGGAGTTCCTGACCTCACAAATACTTTCCCCAGCTCCCTAACCCCCTGTCTGGGAAGACCAACACGGTGAGGCGGCTGTCCTAGGAATCAGAGACTCTAGACCCCCAAAGAGAGACCATTAAACAGAGATGTATACTGTGGGTGAGAGTGGGAATGGGGGAGGACGGGGGAAGGGAGTGTGGAGGGCTCTGTCAACCACATCTGTTAAACAGCCCTTTCCTACAATGACAACACAATGAGCAAGAAGGTGGTGGTGTAGCTACAGGACAGCCTGCGCTCAGGCTTAGCTCTATGGGTACCAGGCTTCCTCCCAGAAGAACCACCTTCTTCAGTATCTGCCTCCGCACCTGGATGCAGAAGTGGCGGTGGGGGGCAGAGGGTTGGTGACCGTCACTACACACTCCAGCGCCTCCCCTGCCAGAAACACGGGACCTCGGCTCAACTCTGCCACCACTTCAATCATGGCAGCTCCGGAATCAGATCTAGAAGGAAACCGGAGGGGTCAGAGGTCAGTACCATGGCAAGGAGGGGGCGCATGCGGCGAGCCTGGGGGCGAGGACGGAGACCAGCGGTCACCGCCACGGCGTCTGAGGGAGGCACCAGGATGGGGATGCGGGGGGCGGATGGGAAGGACGGGTGGCAGCTATCTCCCAGGGGGCGGACGTCGCTCGGGGTCCCGGACCCCCACCCCTCTCGGCGCCAAGTTAGTCCCTTCACCCTCCGGAACCTCCAAACCGGCCTCCGCCCCCCTCCCTCCAGGTCCCAGGTCCCGGCCCAAGGCCACGGCAGCCCGTCACCTCGTGCCCCTCGCCCCGGCACCTCGCACGGTCCAAAACCGGGTCTCGGCACGGCGAGGCCTCACCTGCCCGCCCCTCCGGGACCGGCCAAGTGCGTGGCAGCGTCCGCGGCGGAGGCGGGACTTCCCTGCGGCCTCCCCCTTCCCGACCCAGCGCCTTCCGGCCGGAAGCGCCCGCCCGGCCGGACCGGAAGGGGCTCGGGCAGTCCCGCCGCCTGGGTCACCTTCCCACGGGCTGGCACCCGGGCGCAGGCGCTGTCCCAGACGCCAACCGGCAGGACCCGGCGCCCTCCCCGGGGGCGGGGCTGGCGCCACGGCCCGGGAACCGGGCTGAGGCGGCCGCGAGTTCCCAGGCCGGTTCCGGGGGCGGTTCCTCGCGGGCTGGCCCCCGGGGCTCCTCCCCTTTCCGCGGGCTCAGTCGCTCTTTGGCCCGGCAAACTAATCACCGCGGCCCAATGACGACGAGGCCCGACCCTTCCCTCCCAGGACCCAGAGAGACAACCGAGGGGGAGCCCGAGGCGGCTTCATTGCTGTCGCCGCCGACGCCGCTGCAGCAGGAGCTCCCCGGCTCCACAGAGACACTAGCTCACCTCGGCTTTCCCCAGCGCCCGGTCCTCCGAGACGACACCTAACAACCACAGTCACCCGCATCTGGACTTGGCTGGCGAGGTATTTTGTTCCAGAAGACTTGGGACCCGGGATCACCGAGGCCGTGGAGACTCAGGATCCAGGGATGATGGGAACTGGAGTCCCAGCCTCGGAGCAGACGAGGTGTGCCAAAGGGGATCCACAGGTTGATTGCCCTGAAGATGCTGGAGACACTGAGGCTGGGCAGGTTACAGACTTGGAGAGCCCTGAGGACAAGCGACCCCAAAGTGAACCGGGCTACAGCAATCCAGAGGACTCTGGGCAACTGATGGCTTCTTACGAAGGTAAAGCGAAGGGCTACCAGGTGCCTCCCTTTGGCTGGCGCATCTGCCTGGCTCATGAGTTTGCAGAGAAGAGGAAACCCTTTAATGCCAACAACGTCTCCCTAAGCAACCTGATAAAGCATCTGGGCATGGGCTTGCGGTGAGTAGATCCCATTGCCTAGGGTACCTTAGGTTTCACTTTGTTCCAGCACAAGACTTTCAGCAGAGTCAACAAGACTTTCAGAAAGGGTGAGAAAGCAGTTGAGTGCTTTGTCCCAGTCAAGTGGCCTCCCACCCCCAACATATTCTAAGCCTGTGGTTTTGGGGGTTGAGACCAGGTCACACCTCTGCAGCCCCCTTTCTCCCAGTACCTTATCTTCCTAGTAGGAAAGAACAGGAACATCTGGCCCTGTGGTCAGCCCTGCCTCTGACCTCTCACATACTCCCTCTTTTCCAAAAGACACCCTTTGGCATTTGCTATACTTTGTGGCAAGGTGGGAAAGGATAGTCTGGCTGCTTTGGTACTGACACAATGTTGTTTTATTCGGGAGTGGGAAGTTCTCAACCCTGATTCCCCTGAGCAATTGGGGTACTCCTTCTGTCTCATTTAGGCACACTACATTCTTTCTTTCCTCCCAAGCTTTAGCTCCAGCAAATGAGTGACAGCCTGCCTGCTTTCACCCTAAGGAGAGGGTGTGAGAGGTGCTATTCACCCTATTCTGGGATAAACAATCCCTGATATAAAAACAAAGACCTCTGGTCAGAGAGGCACTGCCATAAGTGTCCCCAGAGCTCTCAGTAATATAGTCTTTTAGAGCCTTTGCTGATGCCCTTTCCCCCAAGGGTTACAGACACCCCCAAGTGCTTACCCTGAGCTGTAGAAGTCCTTTAGATCCCTACAGATCTCCTCTGAATTCAAAAGCTGATGATGAGGAACCAAGATCTATTAACAGGAACAGGTGGATATGAGGACAGAAAGCATCACCCTGAGGTCATCCTTAGTCAATCCATACTGTAAACACAGCTGGAGATGGAAGTATAAAGGTTGGAAAACCCAGCCTAACAGCCTCTGAAGCAGGAGATCCTTCCCTTTCAGTCAGTGCTATAGGGTTGGGTTGGGTAGCCCATTAACCCCAGCCCTAAGTAGTGGGAAGGGCTTGGTACTGCCTGGGTATCTGGCTCCTTTGCTAGTTCCTGTGGGTGGCCTGTACCAGAGAACAATCATCCCTCCAGGCTACTTCAGCAACTGACTCAGCCTAACTTTGACCCCCAAAGCTTATGGGTCAAAATAAGATCGAGGGCTAGAGTGCTGAGAGAAGCACACTGGGTGCATGTGGTAGGGACACTAAGATCAAGAACAAGTTGGCATTCTAACTCCTCAGCCCCTAAGTATGAACTGAGTCAGAGGCCTGAAGCTGTGCTCAGCCCCCTGGACCTTGGGTCCACATACCAGGACAAGGTTATCACGGACACAGGGCTTTTAGAATGGGGTGCAGTCCTGCATTGAGGAGAAGGCTGGGGTAAGACAAGGATCAATTCTGAATGATAATTCTCCAATTGGGACTGGCATTATGGAGAAGGCCATATAGATCAGGAATGGCCAGCTGCTAAATTAAGGGAATGAGAGGTGACCCTAAGAGGATGCCAGACTGGGGGTACTCTAACCAGGAGTTGCAGCAAGCCAGAGTTCCCTTGGCCTCACTGTGGGAAGAACTCAATTTTGATTGCTCTCCCTTCCAGCTAGAGTCCATTCAATAAGTATTTACTGAGTGCTTGTTCTGTGCCAGATACTCCTTTGTTCTGCCTATCTCCATATCTTGCATTTCTCCCTCACTGCCCTAATCCCCGCTGCACCCTCCCTCCTATCCTCAATTCTTTCTGGCCTCTAGTTTCAAAGTCCAGTTTCCTCTAAGCTGGCAGAGTGGACCTTCTGCCTTTTCATCATCTCATCCTTTGCCTTCCCTCCTCCTCTCCCTGCTCCTAGAATGTACCCTTCCTATTCTGTAATCACATTCCCCCCCCCCTTGCTCCCCTTCATGTTCATCTGTCTAGTGCTTCATTGTTTGTGCGCTCCCTGGTAAATTCAGCAAATATTTACTAAATACACACCATGTGCCCTGCCCTGTGCTTGAAGCTATGGGTAACCAACTAGTCTTTGTCAATATCCCTTTCCCCAAGGAATTTGAAAGTATGTCAGATTCCTGTGAGGAACACTGAAATAACAAGACAGTGTCTGATTGGGAGTTCAGATAGTGTATGTACAAGGAACGATCATACCCAAGACAGATACTCCACCTTATGGCTTTCCTATCTATTATGTTATTTGCTCTTTCAACCATTCCATGAAGTAGGTAGGACAGGAGGTACCCTATTTTGTAGACAAGGAAACTGAGGCTCAGAGGAATTACTTACCCCAAACACATGGTTACAAGTGGTATGCTTGAACAATGGGTATACAATGGCTGGGCAGGGAGGAGAGTGAAATTGGGAGTCTGGTGGGGCAAGGGTTGCTTATCAAGGATCCATTCTGAATGGGAATTTGTAGGATTTAAGATTAGAAGTTAGGCTGAAACAGATGTGTCAGAGCCTTGAATTCCAACCAGAATCATTTGCCTATTAGACACAAAGCTGTGACAAGACCAGGAAAATTTAGGGATTTTTTAGATTTTTACTAGACTATTATGAGAGAGTAGACTCAGAAAGCTTAGTTTAAATGCTGAACTTTTTTTTTTTTTAATTTATTTATGATAGTCACACAGAGAGAGAGAGAGGCAGAGACACAGGCAGAGGGAGAAGCAGGCTCCATGCACCGGGAGCCCGACGTGGGATTCGATCCCGGGTCTCCAGGATCGCGCCCTGGGCCAAAGGCAGGCGCCAAACCGCTGCGCCACCCAGGGATCCCCTAAATGCTGAACTTTTAAAAAAGATTTAAAAGGATATGCCCCTGGGACACCTGCGTGGCTTAGCAGTTTGGGGCTGGAGTGTGATCTTGGAGTCCCGGATCAAGTCCCACATCCTCCCTGCATGGAGCCTGCTTCTTCCTCTGCCTCTCTCTCTCTCTCTCTCTCTCTCTCTCTCTTCTCTCTCTCTCATGAATAAATTAAAAAAAAAAAAAAAGGATATGCCCCAAAATATAAACACTGGTTGTCTATGGGTGGGATTTTTTTCCTTCCATCTGGTACATTCTATAGATTTTCACCTTCCACAGTTAGGAAGAAAAATAATAATTTTAAAAAGAAAAAAATTATTCCAGAGGACTGGGCCTATGGGGGCGGGGGGTAGTCGGGAAACCAAAACTGGCTCTTTTCAGCACATCAGACAAAAACTCCTAGGCTAACCTTAAGTAGTGGCAGTGCAGTTAGGGGTGAGGCAAGGTCAGAAAGCTCCTGGGGGGGGGGGGGGAAGAAAGCTCCTGAGAATAGAGAGGAGAAACAAAGATGGTCTCATGCTGTGAGCTGGGAAGAGGAGGGGACCCTGAACCCTAGAGAAGTAGAGAGGAGGAGAGATTTGGAGGGGAAGGGAATGGGTCCACTGCAGACATTTAATGGGAAGTTACAACTGGGTACCTGGAGAAAGGCAGGTGATGGCAGCCTGGGAGGTATGGCCCACTGCCCCTTCCACTCACACTGCCTCTTGCTCCTCAGGTACTTGCAGTGGTGGTACCGGAAAACCCAGGTAGAGAAGAAGACACCTTTCATCGACCTCATCAATTGTGTACCTCTGAGACAGATCTATGGTGAGCCTCACCCCAGCTCTGCTCTGCACAGAAAGGGCCCAGACTCTGGGTCTGCTGCAGAGCTAAGCAAAGAGGCTTCTAGCTTACCCACAGTGAACTGCCCTATCCCCTAGGGTTTTCTTTCCCTAGCTTTACTGAGATATAATTGATACCAAACATTGTGTAAGTTTAAAGTGTATAATGTGTTGATCTGCTATCCCTGCTTTTTTTGAGAAACTCATCTTTATAGCCTAGAAAGTGAATAATGGGCTTCTTTTCCTCTCCCCATGCCCCACTAACCATCCTGATTCTACCTCTAGGTTGTCCTTTGGGTGGCATCGGGGAGGCACTATCACCCGAGGCTGGAGAGGCCAGTTCTGTCGTTGGCAGCTTAATCCTGGAATGTACCAGCACCGGACAGTCATCGCTGACCAGGTAAGAACCAGTAGGTGGGGGACAGGTCCAGAACAGTACCCCAGGCCAGGAAGAGCCTCTTGGCCCATGTAGGATGTAG